TGTATGTCTGTGTGTCTGCATGCATGTGTATGTGTGTTTGTGTACATGTATTTGTGTGTGTGTCTGTGTGTGTTTGTGTGTATATTTTTGTGTGTGTGTTTGTTTGAATTCATTTTAAAAAATATTTAGGGGCCAGTAAGATGGCTCAGCAGATAAATGTGCTTGCTGCCAAGCCTAATGACCTGAGTTCAATCCCACACAGGACATACATGATGGAAGGAGAGAACCAACTCCCAAAAGGAGTCTTCTGACTTCCACTTATGTGCCACGGCACACCCTCTTTCATAGATAAATAAATGTAATTGAAAGAAATATTTCTGGAAATTCCCTATTTTGACTTCACAATCACCGAATGATTCTCAACCCACAGCCTGAAAAACATGAATTAGCACTCACCAGTCCCAATAAATATTTGTGGAATGAATTGTCATGTAGGAACATTTGGCACAGCAGTGGCTACAGAATGTGTGGCATCCACATAGTGCGTTGCCATATGGTTGGTAGAGAGCACTGTAAAACTCCAGCCTGATAATGACTCTTTCCCACTGTGCTTTCTTTGTTTCCTTCTCAACTTACTTACCTTTGAGTTTTAGATCTGTCTCAGAGTCTGCCAGATCCTGGATGACCCCATCTCATCTGCTCTCCAGCCTCATCCTCCAGCCCTGTTCCTTAGGCTCTAGCCCCACCCTTGGCTTTCCCGGTTTCTCACAAATGGTCCAAGTGTCATTCCACCACTGAGATGCTTTTCCTTTATTCTTTGTTCCAATATTCCTCCTTATCCTTTAAATCTCTACTTATTTGTCCTTCCCGTGGCAAGACTTCCTGGATGCCTCTCAGAAGTCACCCCATAGCTCTTCATAGTCTGATAACTGAAACAGTAATATTTGGGTAATTTTTGGTTCAACCATTTTGCTGTTGTGTTTTGAAACAGTCTGGCCATAAACTCTCTGGAATTTGCAGTCTTCCACTTTCGGTTTTCCCAACTGGGATTATTGACATGAGCCCCACCATGACCAGTTCAACATCTTCTTCTTTTTTTTTTTTGAGACTGTCTCATACTCTATGTAGACTACACTGGCCTCAAACTCACAGAGCCCCACCTGCCTCTGCCCCGCAGGTGCTGGGACTAAAAGCATGTGCCACCACTCCCAGTCAGTTCAACCTTTTTTAAACACAAATGCCATGCAAGCAAGATCATACTTACCCCTCTCTGCTTAAAACAATATTATCCATATGTTCATATGGCCAATCTCACTTATTGTTCAGTTAATGAAGGAATAAATAAACAAATGAGTGGATGTTTTTCTTAAATCAGCTGCTCTCTGTACCTCAAAGCTTTATCTTCGGTTCTTGTAGCATCTGAACTCCTAACAGTATATTAGTGTATTATGGAGATAAGTCTAAGTGCCAACCAGTTATCCAATGGGAACAGAATTGCTCCTTCCCTAGAATGAGCATGAAATTAATGTGCAAGGTTTGGGGGTTTTTTGTTTGTTTTTGAGACAGGGTCTCCTTGTAGCCCCAGCTTGGAACTTGCTATGTAGACTAGGCTGGCCTTGAACTCAGAGGTTCACCTGTCTCTGTTAGGATTAAAGGCTTGTGCCACCGTGCCCGGCACAAGGGTTTTTTGTTTTGTTTTGTTTGTTTGTTTGTTTTTGAGACAGGGTCTTACTATACAGCCCTGGCTGGCCTATAACTTCCTGTGTGGACAAGGCTAGCCTCCAACTCATAGCGATTCACCTGTCTCCACCTTCCAAGTGCTGGGATTAAAGGTGTGCACC